CCCTTGTCCAACGAGCTTACGATCTCGGCCGTGAGGCCCGACTTCAGGCCAGCCGTGAACGCTGGCTGCGGGCTGCAGCACGGCCACGGTATAGACCAGCTCCGGGATTTCTTCCCGGCCTCCGAGGCACCAACCGGCAGGGAAGCCCCACAGCTGAAAGCCATGCCAGGCGTTGCGTTTGTAACCTAGGACTGCAAAGAAATAACATGGAGCCAAACTGGCAAAGTCAAATCTCTGCCCACCACCTCTCTGATGGGACCGATGGAGATCCGCACCGAGGGCAGGAGGCAGCAGGGATGGAGCTCCTCTCCGGAGCCCAGCGACCCGGCTGCGGAGACGGCAAGAGTCCACGCTCCCCGAGCGGTACCGCGCCACGCGACTCCTGCCCGGCAGCGCCGTCTGCTCTCGGCAAGGGCTTGCCTTTAATTGCCCCTATTTCAAAAGCCGAGCGCGTTCCTGACGGCGCTGAGGTTGCTAAGCCAGGACCAGTTTAGGAGGGCAGGGCCACCTGCCATTTGCTGGTGAGACTACGGGCTCCACAACACGGACATCATGGGAAATCCAGTACCTAGGATGCGTTTAACAGGTAATTAACCAAACGCTGAAAGCAGCCTCTGTAATTTTCTTATATTCCCAGAGATCATGATAACAAAAACTTGGCAAGGAAAGCATTAGCTGCTCAAAGGGACGGAGACCTTCTGCAAATGAGATCAGGCAACGCTGCGGCCAAGCGCTGTGCTGGCTTATTCTCCGCGCGGCCCGACTGCAATAAACAGCGCCTGGCTGCAGAGCTCAGCTCGCACACGCAACCCAATTTTCCTGCTCAGCGGCGCGTGGTTCTGCCTGTTACCGTACTCGATAGCATGCTTTGTTCCACCCTTGAAGACTTCTGCAACAGGGAGCAACGCTTTGTTTAGGTACATTTCAGCCTCCATGGATCTAAAAGGTGACTGTTTTATTGTTTTGCTGTTCTTTCCTGAGCAGTAGTAATCACACCACAGCAACCTGTACCCAACGAGGACTGGAAAATCCCTCCAGAGTCTGGCAGGACTACACACCCGGGCTTCTGTGCCAGCAAATCTGCCCAACAGACCGTGCTAAGCAACAGCGCCAATTCCCAGTCCAGTTACTTGCGCTTAACAGAGATGCACTAACGGATTTTAAAAACGTGTGCCGATATAACAGAGCAGTAACGCAGGCAACGTTACGCTGTGATATTTAAAGAAAAGTGAGAAAGGAGAGACAGCCCAGGATTAGCATTCCTGAGAACTGTGTGTTTTGACTAGGAGATCCTCTCTCCTCTGACTCCATCTGTGCCCCTGAGAGATATCCTCGCGGACCTGGCCGGTCAAGGAAAGAGCGGTCAGGGTCCACGTGCTCATCCTGACGAGACATCTCCTCCTGCAGCACAGATGCTTCAGGGAGCAGAACTGGAGACGAGGCTGGTCCTGCCACTGGAGCACGGTGATGGGTGCTCTGGAGTCCATCAGTTCTGCAAACCAGATTCCTGCTCCATGGGGGAAACTGCATTATTGCTGCAATCATCTGCTTTGCCCTGTTCTTCTTGCACCGGGTCACAAAACCCCTAAGTGAGAGGCACTGAAATGTACCCAGACCTTGCACTGCACCAATCCACGTAATCTCTTTCTGGAGAGTCAGAATGAAGTTCCTTCTTCAAGGCCTTTCGACTTTCGTTCCACATCATTACTTAACTTAACGTCCACTCAATACGCACCCCAAGCAAGCAGAGAAATCTCAGCAAGACTTACCCATCTCCTTGAGCTCCATATTAACAAGTTCCAACCAGCAAGCATCAAGCTCATCCAAGTCATAGCGGCTCACACCTTGCAAGTATGTCCTAGTCGCTTCCGAAATCTCAGAGACAGGCGGGCTACTTGGCAAAATCTGTGAAGGTGAGTTCTCCAGCTGGGGTATGATCCTAGAAGGAAAGAAGCAAAGGTTGAGAAAGAGTTACAATTTGCAAAAAACCACTGCTAGCCAGCCTAGCAAAATCAAAGGAGTTTTGCGTGCTCAACACGGTCTGTGGTGCCTCAGATGCTTGGAGATTCAGAACCTGGACACCTGGGCAAGTATTTTCACAGAGGCTGCTGGTTCTCGATACCTTATTCGGTGGTTTGATTTGGGATGCCTTAAAACAGCCCGATTTTCAGAAAATGCCAAGTACATCTGTGGCTGTCAGTTCCCTCTTCCGGTATCTCAAACTGTGAAAAGCTAGACACCCTCATTATCACAACTACCTTATTAAAACCTCATAAATCTCTCTCACACCCATGAAACACACTTAAAAAGACTAATTCTTTGCCTTCACAGGAACGTTGCACAGCTCTGACTGCCCCAGTTCAGCACTGACGCAAGACACTATTACAAAAGTGCTTATTTATACAATATCACTTGTACCTATACACGGAAGGGAGGAAACACGTCTGAGGGAAGCGGCGTTACATCAGTACGTCTGTGCTAGGGAATGAACCAGTGCAGGCCAGTCTCCCACTCGCTTTGCCCTTAATCTGGTGGAAAATCTCCATGTTCAAATGACCAGCCTTGCCACTACGCTGGGGACATCATGTTCCCTCACTGCAAAAGCTATTACTGCCTGGCCTCGTCTCCTGTTGAGTCATCACAGCTCCAGAAACCCTTGTTACAGGCCATTAAGCGGCACATCCGATATCGAAGGAGACTTTGGTGGCTCTGGCTTCCTACAGGGGGATGCCAAACCTTCTGAGTTACCCAGCAGCCCCCTGGGATTGCAGGTGGCTCCTCAGCTGAGCAACGATTAGTGCACGCAGAGGCGTGCCCAGCACCTCCGCGGAGGTGTCCCAAGCAGCGCGGGAGCACCCAAGGGCACCCGCTGGATCCTCCTCCTGCACCCTGGCATCGCCCCAGTCGGGAAGCAGGGGGTAGACAAGGTAGCCCCAGAAGTGGCATGAAATCAACAGTAATTGCGGTACGGTCATACCTAGTTCTGCAAAAAGGAGCAAAACCTCCAGGATAACAACTCCATCGCTCACAGCCGAGAGCCGGAAGAGGCATTTGAATAAGCGAGAGGCTCCTTCCACTGGGGGAAGATTATTTTTCCCTGCTTGTAATCCAGGCTGCACGACTGCCACCGAACACGAAAAAGAAGGAGAGTCTGTTGTGTGCCAGCGTAAACAGGACACAGCACCAAAACAAACGGCTTGGGCTTATTTTTGGGGGAACAGTGTTGATGTCTTTAAAGAAAAAAAAAAATGTAAAAAACAGAAAAACATCCACGTTTGACTTTGATAAACGCCAGCTTTTCATGGGCTGAGAGTTTGCCCTTTGCGCCACGTCCAAGGAGAACGGATACCTGGGCACACCGCACGGGGCAGGGCAGCTGGACAAAGCGCCGACCCCGCTGGGGCAGTAGGAGAGGGTCCATCCGAGCGGGCGGTCTTCCTTGAGCTCGGTCGGGCGTCCAGGTGCTCGTACCTGCCTGACTTCCAGCTGACCGGCCCTGGAGAGCTCTGGGTCTCACCACCAGGTTATAGTCCTTTCTATTTCAGGAGCAGCCTACACCACCGTTTTCTTAAGCTTCAGGGCTTCTACACAGGCTTAAATGAGCACTGTTATGAAGCAGGTGAATTTGTTTCTACTGGTCTGGGAATGGGGAGCTTCAGTTTCTTCGACCTGTGCCTCCATCTACCTGTTTATCCTCCTCTACAAATCGCTCTCATAATACTAATCACTCCAGAAAGAAAACCAGTATCACCGCCACGCGCAGGTTTTAATGCTGCGCCTCACGCTCCCTGAAAACACACGGGTGTTTCCCAGTACGAACAAATCCATCCCAGTTAGCCTGCGTTCAGCAGAATCCCACGTTTCAAAAGACCCATCAGGAAGCACCGACCGGGAAGCTTTGTGCCTGGATCTCCACGGTTGTTCCCAGCTTTTGAGGAGTTACATAATTCCCCCTCACACCATGAGAAATTAAGCCATTTTTACACTTCGCGTGGTTCCTCTCTTCCTTCCCGCCTCGTGACCATTACTATATGCCTGTTGGCAGCAACCGCCTACATGTTTAGACTCCCGAGTCAAATAAATAACTCTACCAACGGCTAAAGCTGCCGGCATCAGCCTCCTCCCGTTGTTCCCTCGGATATTAGAGGGTTTTCCCCCATCAGAGCTCATGGGGAGGATTGCTCGGGAAAATCACGTGCTCGGATGGCCTCTCCAGGGCAGGAATCGCCATGCCAGTGCTCGGAAAGCCCCGCGCTGGAGCGCGCAGGGGCCCGGGGTCGGGCTACGCCGGTTTGCATGGGCAGGGGACCTCGGCTCTGCCTTGGCTGCACGACCTGGTGCTTCGGCACCTGCAAGAGGAGGAAGCAAACCCAGGACTCTTTGGAACACGAGAGAAACGCCCTGAGGGGTTGTTCCCCTTCTCTGTCCTTTGCCCTTCCAAAACCTCTTACTTAGGGCTAACTTTCCCCTACATACAGCGACCGCTTTGTCACTGATCCACTGAAGTTAACTCTATACATCGATGAACCCAAGAGAAACGAGGTCCAACCGATACGATGGCCCAGTCGCTGCCACCGACAGCGACTCCTCCAG